AAAAAAATCAAACCCATTGCTGTGGCATCAATGCTGACTCTTAGCAACTCTATAGGACAGTAAAACGGCCTCATAGGGTTTTGTGGAAACTTTATGGAATCTATAATTTCTATGGAAGCGGAATGCCATCCCTTTTTCTCGGGAAGCAGCTGGTAGTTTTGAAGTGCTGGCATTGTAGTTAGCTTGTAATCCACTAGGCCACCAGAATACCTTTGCCAGCTTTGCCTCTTCCAAGCCTCCTCCTCCACAGAGGAATAATCCTTAACTTATATTTGGTAGGAGGCCCGGTGGCTTAGTGGCTATGCATTGGGCTGCAGTTCGAAACTACCAGTAGTTTCTTGGAAGAAAGCGGGACTTTCTACTCCTGTAAACAGTTGCAGTCAGGGAAACTTAGAGAGGGGCAGTTTCTACCCTATCCTATAGGATCGCTGTTGGTTGGCATTCACTCGGTGGCAATGAGAGTGAGCATACCATTAGTCAACCTTAGCCCTTACATTTATATTTTCTACTAACAAATTGATACTAAATGCTTGCTCTGGGTGGGGGTGGGGGGCGGTTTTTACATTTCACCTTTTTTTTTTTGGCCTATCACCCGGTCTTTGACTTCTAGTGAAGTCTCTAAGGAAAATCTGATTGAGTTGATACATACTTTATTTAATGTCTCTCTGTTGGTCCTTAGAAGCCCTGGTGGTACAGTGCTTAAGTACTTATCTGCAAACCCAAACGCCAGCAGCTGAAACCTAGCAGCAGCTGCCCAGGAGAAGTGGCAGTCTGGACGACAGCGCTGGAAACCCCAGTGGGAAGTCCTGCTCTGTCCTGCAGCGTTGCTATGAGTCAGAATCAGCTGCACCGTGGAGCCGGGGGGACTGATTCACGAGTTGTGACAAACGTGTCAAACTAATGTCAAGTCAGTAGTAATAGGAGAAAATAGGATTGGAGTAAATTGTGAAATATCTTCACTTTTTTTTAAACTCTAAAACTATTCTAAAATGAAATAAGAGCCCTCCCACCCCAAGCTTACAAAAGTTTGTCAGTGTGCAGCCTTTCCTGGGACGCTGTTGTTGGGTGTACTTCAGCATAATGAAGGGAGTGGCTCAACATGTACAAACCCAGGTCTCCCGCCCAGGAGAGAGGCCCGGGACTTCTCTACATGATTTCCCAGCCCGGTAGGCAGCATGTCAGCTGGTTAACCCTTCCAAGTTGGAGAAGGATGAAAATGGGAAAGCTTTCGGAAGGGGAAAAAAACCAAGCAGAACAAAGCAAAACAAAAGGAATTGTTTGATAGAGTTGATTGGATGGGAATTGTACTGAGAGGCTGTTAGATAAGGGAAGATACAAAAAGAAAACCATGCATATGGAAGAACAAGATCATTTTCACTCCCCAAAAGAGAAAAAGTAATAGACCAGTAAAATAAACCCGCAGACTCATTGCCATCGAGTCGATTCCAACTCCGAGCAACCACTGTGAGTTTCCGAGACTGCAACTCTTTATGGGAGCAGAAAGCCTCATCTTTCTCCCATGGAGTGGCTGGTGGTTTTGAACTGCAGACCTTGTAGTTAGCAGCCCAAGGAGTAACCACCACACCACCAGGGCTCCTGGACCAGTAAAGGAAGTAATAATTACACGATTTCATTTGAATCTATAGTGAATAATATCTTTATATAATTTTATAATATTTAAAAATAAAATATATCATGTTTTTACATATCCAGAATATTGACACACTGTAGTCTTCATATGTGAAACAGTAGATCAGGACTACACTATGGAGTTCAGATCTCTGCTCTCAAAAACTACCCAGCAGGTAACAGGTTACAGGCCCTATCAAGAAACATTAAAATCCTCAAGTTAACAATGGTTCTTAAAAATAAAACCCAAATGAGGAAATCTCCTGAATTAACTTTAGAAGATGCCAGGGAACCAATTTGTTTTGAAAACTGGTCTGTAACTGTTTCATAACACATAGCACATAGAAGCGTCACATACATTTCCCACCTTCGGTTTCTTGGGAGGCTATTTTTCCCACTTTCCGCACTTGCTGTTGTAGGGCAGGGCCTTGCGTACCTGTGTGAATCAGAAGGAAGCTTATCAGGGACATACAGACTGCTGTATTGAGAGCTTCTTGTCTGAGATGGTACATCCTGGAAGAGTGGTTTTGTGTAAAACTTTTGTCACCTTGGGCCTCCTCGCAGTAAGACAGGCTTGTAAGTAAGTATATCTCTTGTTTTCTCTGTGTTGGGGACGTGCAGGGCTCAGGAGCAGGTAATATTCCATAAAGATTCAAGTGAATGCTGTTTCATGCCTCATCCTACTTAAACCACCACTAGAGCCCTTTGAGGCATATACCCCCACATAATATGTACCAACACGCTTCATACCTCATAAGTTTTAAAGCACTCCATGATTTAACATGCATTCCACTAGTGAAGAAGACATTGAATCTACAAAATCTTAGAAAGAAAAAATAATTTGCTAGTAAAAGGAAGAAAGGGGGAAATATTAAGCATTTTATCTTGAGTTCCTATGTAAGCTATATATTTCATGATAACTAAAGAACTGAGGAAATATTCCAGCTAAATAAACAAAATCATGCAATTCAAATATCACCATTTTGTAGCCCCTGATGAAATCTAGGCAGTGCCCATACGTAAGTGCTAACATGGCAGCAAGGGAGATAATTGGACATCATGTACTTGCTGATGTAAGTCTGTATTATTTATGAAATACTGAATTTGATTAAGCCTCTCCAATAAAAAAAAAGAAACACTGATGGGGCTGGCAGAGGAGAATTGGACCTCTGGCGACAAGTTTGATGGTTCAAACCCACCAGCTGTCCTGCAGGTCAAAGACGAGACTATGATCTTCTCTAAAGATTGACAGGCCTCCGAACCCTGTAGAGCCACTGTGAGTTGCCGTCAACTTGATGGCAGTGGGTTTGGGTTGGGCTGTTTCCAAGAGCTGTGGGACAGGACCTTCAGGTAGTCAGCAAATGTCCGGCTGGCAAAGTAAAACTATGAGCCAGTATCGTCAGCAAGAACGTGGCGTGTGACCCTCTGCTAGTTTTTACTATTTTCTGTTTTCTTTATGATTGAGGTTTTAAAAAATGTTTCACTTTGTTATTGCTTGTTTTTTTAAAATTAATTAATTTGTACACGAAATCCAGGGTAGGTAATTTGTAGAGATATAACCGGATGAGTGGTTCCTTGGGGCTATGTCAGGCGACATTGGGTAGACATGGAGAGCTAATCAGGATGAGTACAAAAAGGAAGACGGTGGTCTAGAACTGTTTGTGGTGATGATTGTACAACTCCTTTTGATGTGATTGAACTATTGAATTGCATGATATGTGAATTGTATGCCAATAAAACTATTGCAGAAAACCTATACTGTACTCTGTGTGCGTGGAGTAATTCAGGAAGTTAATATTATTGATCAGCTATTTGGTATTGAGGCATTATTCACATTTTCAGGAGTATGCTAATGTATTGTGGCTTTTTAAAATAATGGATACATAATGGACTGTTTATCAATGAAGTGATAGATTTGGAATTCATTTGAGACTAATATGAGGTGGATTAACCTCAGATTGATGATCTGTGAAACTGGGTTATAGGATTATGAGAGTTTCTTACAGTGTTCTTTTTACCAAAGGCCCTTTTCCTAATAAAAAGAAAGTTTTAAAGATTTCTGAAAATATGAAGGCTGAGCAAGGAACATGATGAAAGTCTATGAACTTAGGAAAAGTATGACTAAGGAAAAGGTAGCCATGCTTGCCACATCTCTGAAGAGAAACCAAGAGCTAGCTTGTGTAATGTGAAATAAATGGTTTGAGGGTGAATAAAAAACAAGCATTTTACCATAATTTCTTTTTCATATCTGTAAGTATATTGAAAAATCTCAGAGAAGTTTGGGGCATCCCTCATATTTTGTAATATGCAACTATACTTTTAATATATATCAAATAAAATTCCAGTATTCGAGAGATAAAATACCCCGTTGCCCAGCCCTTTGTAATTTCCAAATGTTTCTGCTACATAAGATTTTTGTTTAATTTATAAGAGAAATAATGCATTTCCATAGAAGAATTAGATCTTCAGTTTCTTAATTTTTTTATCCTTTTTAATCCTTTTAATATGTGTTTTATTAAGGTGTAAGGGATAGCATGTATGCTAAGTTTGCATATCGACCAATTTTTAACTACTGTCCCTATAGCTCGGGGATTTTTACACACACACACACACACACACACACACACACACACACACACACACACAGTTAACCGCCATCCAAAACCATGGTTAGCATTTTTCCTGCATCCGAAAAGGCTCTGGTCCCCTTTCCTGTCATCTCTCTCGCCACTCACTGGTAACCAGTATTCTGATGTCTGCCCCCACAGGTTTCTTGGACCTTTTCTTGGACTTCCTAAATGGAACCAACAGTCCTCAGCATAATGCCTGAGAGATTCATCCAGGTTTTGTACAGATCAGTAGTTTATTGTTGTTTGTTGCTGTTCAGTATCCTACCGGATGAATATACTTCAGATTACTACTGTGCCTGTAGATTGACATTTTGGCATGTTTGGCTACTATGAATACATGTTCCAAGGGCATTCTTTTGGTGGACAAAATGCATTCATATTGCTTGGAACTTGTTTGGTCAAATGGTAGACAGAGGTTTTATTCTAGACATGCTGTTAAACATGCTGTTTTCGAGGTGATTGTGTCGATTTGTGGTGGTGCCAGCAAGGTCTGAGAGTTCCAGTTGCTCCCCTTGCCAGTATTTGGTATTGCAGTCTTTTACATTTGAGCAATTCTGCAGTGTCCACCTTTAAGCTTGAACCACTGATACGGCTTCAGGTTTCTATCACTGTGTTACAAAATATCATCCTTCACAATGTCACAAAATAGCGTCCTCTTGTGTAAGATCACTGGTTCCTGAGATGATGGCACCATTGTGGATCGTAAACTAAACTGTCCCTTTTTGTTTGTTTTTTCCTTAGTTGTCACAGGGAGCACTGATGGGATCGGAAAGTCATATGCAGAAGAGGTAGGTCATTTTCAAGATCTTTGTTTTGGGTATATAAATGGAATGAAACTTTTTTATCGTTTTATTACGGGCTCATGCAACTCTTATCACAATCTATACATACATCAATTGTGTAAAGCACATTTGTACATTCATTGCCCTCATCATTCTCAAAACATTTACTCTC